CCATCACGCCTATACCATTGAGGTCTGATTTCATTCCGGTAACATGTCGAGAAATGTGTTCAAATGACAATTTTCGACCAACTTGGCAAAAAGAAGATTTTTTGTCATTTAAACACATTTTTAAACATGTTATTGGACCGGAATCCGGCTCAAGTGATACAAAAGTGATGGGCCTGTCGAGATCTCTCATTTGGTACCAAAACCGTCTGAATATCTCGTTTCAGAGACAAATTATCGCCATCTGTCCCGGCCGTCCCGCTTTCAACTATGATGGAAATTCTATTGATATTATCGGATAATCAACTTTGAGCCAATTTATCTCGGTTCCTGTAAAAGATATCAAAAAGATGTCAACTGAAAAAATATTTTTGATATTATGATAAACATTTTGTCAGTTGATCACTTTTTGATATCAGTGGCCTGGAGCATCTACCCTTCAACCCCTTCTAAAGGTTCCCTCTATCCAAGCAACGACACTCCGCTATCCCGCTCGGCGCGCGCGCACACTTTTAATTAGTTTTGAGTGATTGCGAGCTTGGATTAGACTCGTAGTTTTCTAGAGGCTCATTTTAAGAATTTAAGTTAGTTTGCTTAAATTCTGAGCTTTTATTTGTTGTTTCTTTCTAACTTGTTCATAATAAACCAATTTTGTTACGATTTCTTGTTGCTTTTCTTCTATTTTTATCACAGGAACCTGATACCTCGGACATACCGCGGGCAATTTATCTTTAACAGGGAATGAGATGTATGAGCTCAAAGTTGAAGGTTTGGTAGCATCCTATTAGATTGTTTAAAGCGTGTATTTAATTTGGTCCCACTGTAGTATACAGTACCAGGACCGACAGACGCGTGTAGCGTTTTAAATATAAGGAAGATTCTATAGTAATCCCAATTGTTATAGAATGATTCGCCAACTGGTACTCCATGGTGTTACTACCCAACTGAATCTGGATTCACTGTACAATCCACAGGAACCAATTCGTTTGTTTTGGCAGCCAAAACTCGTGAGTTTATTTTCTTATGGTTTACATGTTAGTTTAGATAGCCGTTGGGTTTAGCGAGAATAAATTGAAGGGTTATTTTATGATCTGCGTTTGAAACAACACTTTTTTTGTTTTCTGAAAACGTCTCAAAACCATATCTTGTGTGAAAGGATTGAGATTGTTTGGATGTTCCGAATTTTCGAAAATCGGAACTCCGAATTCACAAAAAACCAAATTTCAGAATCTTTGGATATTCTGTATTTTCGAAAACCGAAATTTTTGGAGTTGTAAATTCTTTTCTACACAAGCCTTAACCGTTTGAATAATCGAGACGGTAGAAATTTGAAGAATTTTTTCTCATTTCTGAAAACCGGAATTTCTCAAATTTTATGTACAAAAAGAACAGAGTTAACAGAAAGTACAAACGTTTTTCGAAAAGTTTGTCTGTTCCACAGATTTCGTCCAGTTTCGCCTTGCCTTTTTACAATTCAGAAACTTTCTGTATGAATAGTCCAGAAATTATTCAAAGTTATAGAAAATGTTTATTTGATGGATCTGAAAATGATCTTGAACAAAAAAAGGTGGACAAATTAAAATTGGACAGTGTGGACAGTTGGGACAGTGGTAGTAGTTTGCTCAAATCCGGGTAACAACCAATCTTCCTGCACTTTGAACTCCTTGTTGTTCTGTGCCTTCTTTTCTTCTACAGGTACAGAATCGGTTTGTCTCCCGATTTTGT